CAGTTATTGGACCGGTCATTTGACTGGTTATATGACCGGTCACATGACCGGTTATATGACCGGTCATATAACTGCGGCCGGTCGGTTATGAGTCAATGACCGGCAATAACCGACCGATAACCGACCGTGACCGACCGGACCCACCCCTAGTTCCTACCTTGTGACATTGTGTGTAATGTGTGCATGCATTTGTGATGATGATCGTTACCTAAATTTCCCATGCTATAATATTCATTGTGTTAATTGTCGCATCTGATCATGCATGCATTAGGTTTTAATTTTAGCCGGGTGTTACTTTAGTTATATAAAGTGGTTACTTTAGATAAATCGCTACTTCAGATGTGACATTGTTATTTGATTTATTGTGTGGCTTTTACATGTTATACGTACATCAGATTATAACTCATTTTAGCTGTGGTTTCATTGAAATTGTCAATTATGTATTGTGCTTTGTAGTAATAGTATTTTTTTTCCATTTAATATTAGCATTTTTTTTCTCTTTTGTTGATTTATCCAGTTTTATTATTGTTTAATTTATATATGTGTTAATATAGGGCTTGTTAGAGGCCTGCAAATTGCCTATTTTTGAGGCCCAGTCCAGCCCACAGTTAGTGATAAAATTTTTTTTTAGGCCCAGCCTGGCTCACATTTAGAGTTACTATTTTTTTGCCAGCCTAGCCTGGTCTACATATGTTAAATTTTTTTTTCAGTCCAGCCTAGCCTGGTCTGGCCTGCAAAAATTTCTTATATAATTTTACAAAATTTTAGGTCCACACTGGTCCACAATTATAAAGTATTGCAAATTTTTTAGTCTGGCCCAGTCTGCAATTATAAAATTTTGCTTCAGGCCTGACCTGACCTATAAAAATTTGTGGATCAGGTTGGGCTGGGCTGGACTGGGTTGCAAGACCCAATGCAGGCCTCTAGGGCTTGTCATTATACCTATTTACTATTTATTATTTATAGTTGTTATATATTTTATTTAGCTGCATATATTTTTTTTTTCTTATATCAGGAACAGAGTATATAGTTAAGTGTCAACTTAAGTATTTCTGTGCAAATACATATTTTTGATTAGATATTTTCTTTTACATATTTTTTATAATTACTTATTTCTATATTTATTATAGATGTATTTCTAATTACAGATCTATAATCTAATTTTATATAGGATATAATTAAGTAATATTATAAGTCTGCATAAGTTTTTATATACTGAAATTCTCATCTTTGACAGTTTCAAACTGCATAACTCTTTATATACACCTTCTCTTATTTTTACTCTATCTGGTTTAGTTCTTATCGATCTTATTTTTACTATTCACAATGTTTCTATTTCTTATTATACTGTTACTACTCTTTTTATCAAACTTCTTTTTTATTTAAACCAACAAATATACAAACAAATATAGATTTGATACTGTATTTCATGCTCTGTACAGTTATAAACTATATTCTCTACTAATACAACTCATAGTTATTCTTTCAATTTAACTTTACCTTTCATTTCAATATTACAAATTATTACTAAAATTAATCTTTGGACTATCTAATGGATTAAATACCATATTCTTCTCTCTTATATTATTACTTAAACCCAAATTTAGATAAGCCTTGATTACTCTTGTAGGTTTAGGTCACAGATTATATATTTGAGTCTTTATTCTTTATATATAATTTAAAAGTAAACTTTTTTTTATAAAAACTTTAATTGAATTTTAATAAAGTTAAAAACATGGTTTCACCATTAATATTTTTTTTTAAAAAAAAGTCTGCATAAGTTATTGATAGATCTGTCCATCTTGGTACATTTTGGTCCCTATGGGACTGATTTATTAGTGTTAATCAGTCTGGTTCATCTGTCTTTTTGTTTTAAAATTGGTCTTATGATAAGATTTTTTTTAATATTTATTGTAAATATTTAGGCTACAAAACATATATATTCTTATCATTATATTTTATTAATGTGACATATATATATATATAAATATATATTAAATATTTATTGTAAATCTACTATTGTTTTTTTATACAAAGCAAATTTAATAAAATAAATTTAATAAAACTAATTTGATGAAGCTAATGACTAATTTAATGTAAAATATAATAATTTAACACAATAATATAATTACAATAGTTTTCTAATTGTTCAAAGTGTAAATTTCTTTTTAAAGCTAACTCTTTAGACACAAAATTGTCCTAGCAGATTCATCGTCAAATCTATTTCTTTTGTTTGAAATAGTCAAACTGGCTATAGAGAATGCCTGTTCTGAAGCCACACTGGTAGCTTGTATGAACAAATAGGCTCTTGCAATTAAACTTAAAGTAGAATAATCCTTTTGCACTTGCCATCATACTAATAAATTCGAATTATTTTCCAAAGGCAATAGTAAATACTTTTCTAGTTCATTTCATAGATTATTTGATGATATATTTGTTAGTAATATACAAGAATTAAAGAAGCATTAAATGTAGTGATACTAGATGAGGTAGATGAAATAAAAGAAGTAGGATAAGTTGGTTGAGTAAATGAAATAGAAGGACTAAAAAAAATAGAATAGGCAGAAGGAATAGAATATATAAAAAAGCTTCATGCATTAATAAAATCATCTACTGAAGTAATTACTAGTAATTGTAATTTCAATCTATATCCTGAAAGATTTAGAATTAGTTATTTTATTTGGTTTTTTTCTATCTCATTGCTAAATGTGAATAATTTTACACTTGGGTTCAATAAAGTGAGACTTGTGATGCTTCATTCATAATTGGCCAATATTTTTTAATTTTTTGTAAATTGCATTTGCTATTTTAGATTATATAAATCTTTCCATAGTTGAATATTGAATCAAATGTTCTTGAATTTCAAGAAAGACAAACCAAACAACCCTATGTGTTAGATATCAGGATACTGAAAAATAACAAGTTACATGTTTGAATGGTTTTAAAAGAAGTATTGTATTATTAATATTGATACAATCTTTTTTACTAGAATATCATTGGTTAATTAATAAATTATTAGTAGAAAGTAATTTTAATGCAAGCTCTATTTTTTTCATTTTTTTAACATATAATAAACAGAGTTTCATGATGTCTTTATATCTAATTCTAAGGCTAAGTATTTTAAATTTTTTGGCTTACACAAATGTTTTAAATCATTACTTATTGGTTGAGAAGATTTAATGTAACTTGTCAATGACCTAATTTTTTAATAGATGAATCAACTAATTTTATTCCTTTTATAACTGCCAGATTTAATATATGGGCAAAGCAGTGATAGTGAACAAAGTTTAAATTATTGAACTCCTTTTCTAATTCTGCTATCATTAAAGCATCACAAGAGATCATTAAAGAGGCATTGTCTGTTGTTAATGCTAATAACTTAGCAGTTAAATTAAATTCATCAAGTACTAATATAATGGTATTAGCCATATTAAGTCCAGTATATTGCATTGTTATAGGAATTATATCAAGAAGAAAATTTTTAAGTATCAAAGAAGAATCAATGTAATGAATTGTTAAGCTTAAAAAGGCTAATCCATTTGATGCTGTTCACATATCAGTCATAAAAGAAACTTTTCTAGGAATTTTACTAACTAACAATTTTACACTTTCTTTTTCATGATTGCTTATAGTATGTCAATTACAAAATATATATTTTGAATTGAATTTAGAGATTATTAAGTGCCATTTTTCACTTTCTATAGTATCAAAAGACTCTAAATCACAAATTATCCATCAAGAACAACTTTATCTTGTTCTTGTTGTTTATATTCTGTATATGGATTATTAGGTTTGTCTATTATAAAAATAATATTTAATTTTAATATTAGTTATTTAGCTTTAATTTTTTTTTTACCTATTTACAACCATTTTTCCTTGTATAAGTGCAATTATTCTGTATAAATTTAAATGCCTCCTTAAAGTCAATGTTGCAGTATTAGGTGAAAAAACAGGTTCACATTTATTACAAACAGAATAGTTAGGCAAATTAGGATGTTCAAAGTTGTTGATGCTAAAATATTGCTATACAGTAAATTTGTTGTGCTTTTTTGATTTTTTATTATTAAATATTGATGTTTTAGCAATTTTATTATTATAAGTTGAGGCATCAATGTTTAATTTATTAGAAACTAGAGTCTTATTAATTAGAGAGTTGCTTATAGTAGTATTACTAGGCATTTCAATATTTTGTAAAATATTGAAAAATAAAGATAACAATTCTTGATTATTACTTATTGTTAAAAAGAATAAAAAAAATATAATTTGTTATTTTCTTTTTATTAATTTATCATTTTTTTTATCATTCATTATTTTTTATTAATTGCTGTATGATCATTATTTTAATTTATTATTTTTTATTAACTAACTTATGATTATTATTTTAATTCGTCATTTTTTTTATCAGCTACTGTAGAACTATTGTTTGGACCAGGACTGGACTATTAAAGACTGAGAATTAAAAATTATTCAGTTCTTGGTCTTTTATAGTTTAGTCTCAGTTTTTATGAATACTGATCCATCACTAGTATAAGTTTGTATTTATATATACAGTATTAAATTGTGTATGAGGCTTTATTTAATTTACTATGTGAATTGATTTTTTCTTTATTTACTGTGTGGTTTGATTTTTTCTAATTTGTTATTAAATTTATATATTCATTATTATTATTAAGTAAATAATATTAATCTGAAATTTGCCAAATACAGCATATATATTAATAAAAAAAATACAAATATTAAAATAATTAATATTTTAAATATAAAAAATTTATAATTAAATGTAAAATTAGTCCAGAAATATAATTCATTTAAAATTAAAATTATATTTTATAAACTTACAAGATATGTAATTTTATTTAATTTTAATAATATATAAATTTCACATATATGATATATAGTGCTAGCATTATAAAAAATTTGATTGTTATTATAAACTTCAATAGATTTCGCACAAAGTTTACTAATCAAATCAATATATATATTATTAAATTACATGTAAATTTGATTTTATAAAATTATACAAATTTATATAAATTACTAAAATTACATAAAATTACAGTAATTTCCTATCCTAATTTCATTTAATAAATAGCTATAATTGTATTAGCAAAAATTTAAGTAATTTTGTCTAAATTTTTAATCATTGCCATTAACTAATTAAAATAGTAAACTTCTATATATTTTTATAAGACTTAATCACAGTAATTACATTGATCACTTTCTTAGTTAAAACTTTTATTTGGTCCAATTTTTATAAGATGATTCCAAATATTATTATTTTTTTTTTTTTGATGTTAAGGTGAGACCTTGCTCATATCTTTATTAGTAATTTTAATTGTATATATTAATATACTATATACTAAGATATACTAAGATTGTAAACTACAA